CCCCGGTAAAAAAAAAAAAAAAAAAAAAAAAAAGACCAGCTTGATTGGGCTGTGGTTGCCCTCATTCACAGAGTCCCCATAGCCATCTTGCCATAATGGGGACAATTCCAGGTATAAGCAAGGGTTAGTGTGTAAAATGTACACTGGCTGATGTTAAACATTGGCCCCTTGTGTTTGCACTAAAATAGTAGGCAGTGTACTCTCCACACCATACCCATTTTCTTGTGTACACTTCTCCTGTGGATTCCATGACAGAAGCCAGGGCAACAAGGTCTTAGCACATAGTTTTCTCTGTAGCAAGTCTTCTCCATATCTAAGTTCAAATGAGTTTTAAGAGACTTCCTACTAGGCTTTTCCCCACTCCCCAGGTGTTCCTTTGAACTTCCTGCTTCTTCTCCCCAGTCAGAAGTAATTAAAGAATCTTAAAGTAGATTTCAAGTTATCCCTCAGATTCTTCTTAAAATCACCCCATCTGAATTTTAGACCAGCAATTCAGTGCTTGCCTTGCCTTGGACAGTATTGTGTCTTCATCTCTAATGTCTATAATATGCTGTATAGAAATGTCCCAAGTCCCTTTCAGATTTAGTTCTAAATGGAATTTGTTTAAACATACACAATTCCCTGTGATGGGAGAATAAGCATGCCCATATCCCACAAATGAGCTCCAGCACAGTGATGAGAATGTTTCAAACAATCATCCTACCTCATAAATACCTTTGTCAAGAGACTTCCCTAGACAAAATCAGTGGGACAGTGTGGTATGGGAGACCTCTTCCTTCTCTTTTTTCCAAATGGAAGAAGAAAGGAAGGAAGTAAAAGTGATTGTAATCTGTTCTTGGTCACGAGGCCATTTGGATCTATAACTATGTCTCACTTATGTTTTGCCCTCACTGCATTACAAGATTTGGATTTTAGGCTCAGACTGATTTCCTAAGTAAACCATTTGTGGTTTGGAGCTCATCTGGGACAGAGAAGGGGCTGGCATCCTATGCTTTGGGACATGGAACTCAAAGAGGGCAAATACTAAGTACTGGTGGTACGTTAATAGTGATCTGGACCCTCTTCTGTAGCAATGGAACCTTGGTAATGGACTCTCCTGAGTCTCCTAGTGTGGAATTTAGAAGTTGTCACACCCTCACCTGCCCATTGAGGGCAGCCACACCTACTGTTGTGTAGCCCCAATCCATTGTTCTGTGAATACACGCAGATTTTCCTCTTCTGTGTAGGCATGACCATCTGGAACAAGAACGGTTCACCAATTCTTCATGCCTATCTTTTGGCCGGAAAGGCATTGGATTCTCTAACTTTTGGTGGCCCACACCAAGTAGATTGTCCTTCGTCAGCCCTTATTATGTACTAAGACAATACAAGTCATTTCTTAAAAATGAATTTATAGTTTCATTCTTCTTCTGGCTTACAGACCATACTATTCCAGTATGTAAAAGCTTGGAGAGTCTTATTACACTACAGCCAAGACACAAATGTGGGGAGGAAAATTTATTTCTAAACCAACAGAGCACTGGCTCCATTGAGAGACCTACTATGGGTTGAGGCTGTCAGCAGCTTCTAGCCCTTCCAATTTTTCTTATAAGAGGCTAGCAAACTCTTTCTTCATAAGCCTGTCTTTCAGTATGCCTAATTTAAGAATATATCCCCTCCTGTTCCTTCAGGAAAAGGTGCCTTCCCACTCTGTCTCCCCTACCCCGGTCCCCAGAGCTCATTTGCATCCCCAGAGGTCTAATGTGAACTTTATACCCAGCCTCTTGGTGATGCTTCTTGCTTGTTTTCTTTGTTAAAAACCTATGCACACCTCATACGTTGGCCAAGCTAAGTGTGACATTTGGCTCACATTTGACAAGACTAATTTTTTATCCTTTAGTTTATTGACTTCAATTTCTTTTGGGATTAAAGGCAAATTTTTCTAACCTTGAATGCCTTAGGCTAGGGGAGTATAAACTCCCTTTGGGATTAAAATATCTTCCTGCTCCTGATTAGAAGGGCAGGTTATTTGGCAGAGCTCAGATGGCACAACAGAAGTCAGAGCAAACACCTTGTAAATTTAGGCAGACTTGAAGGTATAGGAATGTATTGTTTCTGGAAAATAATCCAAGGGAATAAATGGCTTTTTGATACTCTACCTCCTAAGCATCTCTTTTCTTTATCTATCAACTTCCTTATAATTGTTCTCTGTCTATACTCTGTGTTATCATTCTCTTTCTATAGTATGGGCATCCACTCTTTGTTCTATGTAATTCTTCTCTCTTACTATTTCTTAATTTTTCCTCCTTCACTTTGCCTTGGCACTGAGTGTGTGCATCTTTTTACCCTATGGTTTTGTTTTGGGATTGATGAGAATTAATTTTCAGGCTCAACCCACTTTGGTCCTACCCCATTCTGCTCGGAAATATATTGGTTGGAATCAACCCAACCCTGGCCCTTTCTTCTTTGCCATTTTCAGTCTCAGTATATCTTCTCAACCATTACCTTGAAGCTCATGTAGCTTTAGGTTTTGACCTTCCAAGCATTGTACAGAATATTCTGTGGTTCCTTCTTGGTCTACCATTTTTTGGAGCAATGAAGGTGCTCAGAAAT